GACATTATTTACATAACACTGTTTTTAAATTATATGTTAGTATTTTACTAACATAGTCTAGTTCCAATAAAATAAATTCTATAAACATAAGCGATACTAAATAGATATAAAACTGAAGCAAACTTCCATCATGATACCAAACTTTTCAAAATAGCTACTTGATTCTATAAATATTCATCTCCATCATAAACCCTTCAACTTTCACAATTTTGCACTTAGAGCACTATTTATGAATTCTTTTTAGAATTCATATAAACTTTTCCATTTAATTCATAATAGTTCTTCACTATTATGGTCATTTCAATTTAAACACTAAAAATTGCAGCATATACATAATATACTGAATTTAACACTTTAACATTCCAACAACTTGCAATTTCATCCCAACATTCTTAGACTTTTCTAATTCAACCATCTACTTTAATAATCTTACAATTTGATCCCAAACCACTATTTAAACTTAAAAATCAGCATACTAATATAATTTGCAACATTAAAAATTCCATACCAAAATAATACCATCACATTTGAAAACTCACAATTAAGTCCCAATTTTTGAGACTATTAGAATTCCATCACTAAGTTTATCCAAATTTGCACTTTGATCCTAAATCACCCATTTAACTTAAAATTCCAACATTTCATCATTAAAATTCAACATTGAATACTCCAATTTAAACATTTATACATTAATGTTCCACAATTTTTCCTTATTTCTTTCCCTTTGGCCGAATACTTTTAAGTTTTCCTAGCATGAATTACATTTTGATTCAAGCATGAATTCATACTCTAATAACATTTTCATGAAATTCTCCTAATTTCATAATCTGATAAATGTCATAATTATCATTATAAATAATAGTTTTGTATCATTTCAAATAATTAAGATAGCATATAACATAAGAGTATCATAAAATGCATAGTTTACCTCAATTTCATATTCTGACAGTTTACACCACCCTCAAATAAATATAAATATGTATTAATATACATACTTAAAAATTATTTCGTTTCTACCATTAGAAACTAGGCTTGAATACGAATCTAACCATATAAGTCACTTCTTCTAGTTCCACTTATACAATTTATGGAAAATTTTCAAAGCTGACTTACAGAAACTGTTTTGAGTAGAATCTGTTGCCCTGTTTTCTGACACATCCTCGATTAAAAATTCATATCTTTTTATATACACATCAAAATCAATATCCATTTGTTTTAAATGAAACTATACTGATATACAAATCTAACGGTATAAATATCACCCTCTAATCACTTCTGTATAATTTATGATGATTTTTTAAACTTACTGTTCAAATCATAATTCCCATGTAGCTTTCCTAATCAACATCCTTAGCTTATTTCGTAGTTCTATTAGCTTACCAAATGAACATTTATACATAAATTAAAGTTCCTATCATCATTTCCATGCTATCTCAATCAATTCCATAAATCCTAACCTTTACCAAATTCATCTTTAAACATTTCCAATTGATTTTGATCATTATTCAAGCTTAGAAGTAATCTACAACATCAATAACATAAAAATCTTCCATCAAATCTTCAAAATCAAACATGTCCTTCATAAACACTAATTTTCAATCTCATCATACAAGCATGTTTTCCATGAAATTTTTATACCAAATGATAGAGAATTTCAAGAGAATTAAATCTCTATCTAATAACTTAATCAAAAAATCAATCATATAGCCTTAAAAATCAAAACAAAAATTTCTTACCTTTCTCAACCATGGAGTTCACGATTTATGGGGTTGAAGATGAGCTGATTTTTGCTTGATTTTATCAAGTAATTGTAGCTTTAAAATACTTAGGCACATTTTAATATAATTGAATATAAAGAAATTTCAAATTTGCAATTAATGAATGATAATTATAAAATGTCATTGAAATATATTTTATTAAAAATATCTCATAGTCAAAGATGAACCAATTTGACTTTGACTTTCTACTTTGGCCATGTAATTTTTGAAAATTGTATTTTAGTGACTAAATTTCAACTGTTCAACCCAAATATGACAAATTAATTTCCATTCTACCGATCCATGCTAAATTTCACTAATCTAAAATATGAAAATATATTTTCATCATTTATCTATCATCCTTCAAATTTTCGTGAAATTTCGATTCAATCCGATTCTATACTTGACTTTATTGCTTTATAACTTTTAACACAATTCTCGTATTAAAATTCTAATTCGAAAATTCTGTTTTTAGGAAAAACTATTCATTTATGCGCCAAAATATATAACTTTTTAAAATTATATTTTATTCTCTGAATTTTCCAAAGTTTATACTTTGGCCACCAAGCTTTCAAAACTTATATTTTGGTCACTAACCAAAATTTGAGGTATTATAGATTTAAAGAACATTTTCACCCAGTGTCTTGTTTCTTTCACCATTAGTAAAGAACATTACTAGCTGCAAATTATTCGATAACTTTATATTTCTAATTAATGAAGTATAAATTAGAATATATTAATTTCAATTTTCAATGAACACTAACTAAAAACCGTATTGATTTATGATGAAATTAAACTGTAATTAGGGGGTAAATCAACAAAATGGTTCTCAGCTTTTACACATACAAAACCAACATAAAATAAAAAATATGGAGAAGAAGTATTTATCTTACGAAAAGTGAGGCTTTGTAACTGTTGAGTTTTGTTGCCGTCGAGGAAGAAAATTGAAAACTAAAGGACCAAGATTCAAGATTCTTGATAGATAAGGATAAATCAAAAACTGGGAAGAGTGAATCTTGTATACATGTCACCCGACCCGATAAGATATAAACCCGATTTTTTATAAAAAAAAATCCAATCTTATTGAGTTGAATTGGGTCGAAACCCATCGAGTCCGGGTCTCATGTTCATTCCTATTTACGAGTGATCATGTTGGAATTTTATGTGATTTTTTAGTATAAGATTAAATTTGTAAGATGATTAGGGATTTTAAAGCATCAAATTTGAAAACACAAGATATAAAATTTAAGTTACAGTTATGACTTGAGAGGAATAAAGTTATAAAGATTCTTTTAGGGTCTTTTAAAGTGATTAAGGATTTTATGTATTTAAAAAGTATATATGCATTATTTTGTTGGCTTGTAAAAGATATTGTTGGACGTTAATCTTGTCCAGTCATAACTTTTATTAGAGAATTTCTATAATATTAGTGTCATCTCTGATGTTTAAGATGTGATGTCTCACTTAAACGGTCAATTATTAATTTTTTTTTATCAATTTTTTAAAATTTGACTTTTTATTATTTAAAATTTATTATTAATAAAAATATGAAAAAATATATTTTAAAAATCTTAAATTATGTAGTTTTGAAATATATATTTTATGAAATTTAATTTTTTTAAAAATATTTAAAAATAAATATGGTCAAATATTAAAAAATTGACTTTAGTCAGTAAGGAACAGTTTTAGTGGGACGGAGGAATATTAATAATTCTGATGAAATTATACATAATATGTTTTGAAGATTATTTTTTTTAAAGATATCGGGCACTCTTTTCTTTTTATAAGATCCTAACCTAGTGTTGGTAGAAGGAGTTTTTAATAAATCCCTTTTATCTTAAAAGAAAAACAATAATCTTTAAAAACATATTATGTATAGTTTCATCAGAATTATTGTGTTTTCAAATCACTCGGACTCCTAATATCTCATTTTGAATTAAAATATCCCTTATAAATATATCTAAAATAGAATAAAATTTCTGAATTGGATTTCGTTCCATAATAGTTAGAAAATTATATTAAAAAATTCATTTTATTTTAAAATTGAATTAAAATACTATTAAATAAAGCTCGAATAATAGATTACGAATTTTAAATTAGTTTTTTTCCCATAACTATTCATTCAAACAAAACCGAACTAAAATGGAAATTGAATTAAAAATACCATTAAATAAATGGGAAGCGGAAACACAACAGCTAAAACCATGAGCCAGGGAGCACGTGGTTTGTTAGACACCTGAACTTTGTCCATTGCTCACGTGGCAATACATGGTAGGTTCATAATTTCAGTATTTTCATGACAACTTGCCTATTGTATCTACACACACTTTTCTTTCATGGGATAATGTCCCTGAATTTCATACCATTTTTAATTTAGTCCATCAACTCTAGGGGTGAGAATTCGATCGAGTCAAGTCAAAAAAGTTTTGTTCACCCCTAATCAACTTCCTATAACTTCCTCAATTCTTTTAATTTGATCCCTTTATTTTTATATTTACATTAATCCTAGAATTTAACATTTTTTAACTTAATCTCTAAATTTGAGTTTATTTAAAAATTAAAATTTAAAAATTAAAATGTATGATGGAATTCAAATTTTATAATTAAATTAAAAAATATCGAATTCAGAGATTAAATACTACTTTATTGCCTAATTCTCTTGTACACTTTATTTTCTTACTTTGTTAAGAAAAAAATCCAAAACCATCTTAGTTTACCAAATTAAGCCAGTCTTCAACCCATGTAAAAGAAGAAGAAGACAAAGAGCAACCTTGCCCATAAAGTTAAAAACTGAAACTTTGATTGAATAAAAAAAATTTGCTTTGAATTCTTTTTCATTTCTTTTTCCATCTTTGCATTTTGCAATTTGGAAGAAAAAGGAGAGAGAAAGGTAATGATTTATAGAGTCAATCATTGGGGGTGGCTAATAATATCACTATCACATCTCCTCCTACTCATATCTAATTTTTTTGCTGTTTGCTTTTTTTCTCTGAACAAAGTGTGCTTTTTTTTATAGCTTCTCTTTGTTCGAATATGCTATTATCTCGTCAGATACTGATGGCTGTTTCCAGTGTAATGGAGTGTGTGAGACTTGAACTGAACGGAGTGAGCCGTTTTCAATCCCAGCTGTTCTATTTGTAGCAAAGTTGTTGTTGTCGTTGGAGGTGATGGGACAATTGGCCCATCAGCGTCAGTTATATAATTTGTGTGTCTAGATACACTTTTCAATAGTGTCTTGATCTGTTTTCCTTTTGAATTTTATGCACACTATCTGTTTGTTGTTATTTTTCTTTACATGTACTTCAAATGTGTAAACTTTACACCAGAAATGTTCACCAGGGATTTTACCTTTTGAAAACAAAAGAACAAAAGGTGATGGTGGAGTAGGATTTGGAACCATCAAAGGTTAGATTCTTATGTTTTGGTTGGTTGGAAAAAAAGCTAACCTAGTGCTTGTATACTTCAGAAGAAAAAGTTAATCCGTTTGGTTGTCAGAATCTTGATATTAATTGTGGGTGGCCTTTTAATTCATGTCGATTTCTACAGTAAATGTGAACTACTTTTTAGGTTTTAATAGTGAGACAGCAAAGAACCCGAGGTTAGCTTTTTTGTTTTCTCGTTAGTCCTATTTCTAGACTTGAAATTCTTGAGATTATCAAATTATTGATTACTGGGTAGGAATCTTCAATGTGAATTATAAAAGAAAAAACATATATTTCTTCTGAAGAAACCCTTTGAATTGATTTATTTTGGTTTCGTTAAAAGTTCTTTTAGGAAGTTTGTTTCCTGTTTATGTTACTATTCCAAAAAAAAATCTTTTGCTTATTGTGTAAAGTTTTTTTTTCTAATATAGAACAGTGAAATGTATCTTCAAGTACCTTATAGATGAAACTTGTACTTTTAGAGTGATTTAATTGATCTTTTTTTTTCCTTTTTGTTCTGATTTCAACTTGAGTGGGAGATCAATTTGCTGCAAATTTTTAATCGTTTTGGATTTATTGAACACTTAAATATTCATATCCAGTATCTTCTTCCCTATAATTTAAATATTCTATCGGATCTGTTGATAGTGAAATCCACTACTGAAATAATCCTAGGACTATTCTTAAAAATCCATGATTTTGGATATGCGTTACAAGCTTAGTGAATTCAGTTCATTCTTCCTGCAGGTGATAATTCTAGACAGTGGATTTAGACAAGCCCAGATGTCTGCGGATGAGCCTGGCAATAGCTCCGAGTGGAGTAGAGAGCAAGATAATGCATTTGAAAATGCCCTTGCAACTTATCCCGAGGACTGTTCTGATCGGTGGGAGAAAATTGCTGCTGCTGTACCTGGTAAAACTTTGGAAGAGATTAAAGAACACTACGAGATTCTAGTGGACGACGTTAACAGGATTGAATCTGGCTTTGTGCCTCTCCCTCCTTATGATTCTGCTTACAGTTCAGTGGGTCAAGCTGGTAGTGAAGGAACTGGTAAGAAAGGAAATAACAATTTAGGGCATAATAACAATGTGTCAAACCATGGGGTTAAGAATTTGAGGTCCGATCAGGAGCGTCGCAAGGGGACTGCTTGGACGGAGGAGGAGCACAGGTGAATTAGTTCTTCTCGTTTAGATTTTTTATTTTGATTGACATATGCTCCTTCTGTTTTGCCCTTTGGAACTTTACTTCTTAGTATTCTTCCTGCTTCATATTTCGTAACAATGTGCATTTATTATATTTTGGAATCGCGTATCCCATCCGCATGTAGAATCTTTATTTGACAAAAATGTTTGCAGAAAATGCTTTCTACCTTTTGATCATTCTGTTTGTCGCTTACTGTTAGTTAGGTAGATTAGATCTTCAACGGTTTTCCTACTTCTGTGCGTTAGATGGCCATTAGATGATGAACATATCCCGAAATCATGTGAAATAATTGAAGTGAAAAATGAATTTCGATGTTACCACGTGGAAGCTATATAGTTTTCTATCTTCCACAAAATTATATCCCAAAAGAGAATAATTATACTATCGTCACATCTTACCTGTGTGACACTTGTGGCTGTTATAGGTTTACCATTTTATCTCGTCTCGCGCGTGCTAAACAACCATATAGCCTAACTTCCGACTTAAAACCGATATTTTTGGTTTTATTGCTTGATGTTGGCATATGTCTATAATGTTCAACATGCTGTTTTGGTATAGCAGTTTTTGGTTCTATTAGTAAAGTGCTTGCCAAAATTTGGTTCTAATATGGAAGGTTTATGGTCATAATAGCATATAGTCAGATTTGTTTCATCAATCAAGACTGTAAAATGGTGCTTAGGTTATATAGCCACGTAGGCTTTGCAGCTCGATTTGATTCACATATCACTTGCATTATGGTGGAAAACCATGCCTTTCCGAATAATAACCATTTATGATACATTTCTGATATGTTATTATATTATATACCTGTACTGTCATGATTTCATTTGATGGTTCCTGTGTGAGTTATAGATGCTGTGTTTGTGCTTAAAGTTTAATTCTGCACTTTCTTGTAATTTAATGGTGCTAAATTTTGCATGCACTACAAATAACCTCATTTGGGGTAAAACGTCGCTACCTGGTACCTTTGAAGAGGCGTGGTGTCTTTTTGGCTCATACCTTACAGAACGTATTATTCAGCTTTGATTGGCCTATAATGCCTGTTCTAGCCCATAGGAAATGTTCATGAGCCGGGATAACTCGCACTCAGGAAATTGCTCATTGTTTTATGAATGGTCTTTATTGTTATTCTTTGAATTTTGAGATGTATTTTGATATATCATTTGACCAATAGGCTTTTTCATATTATAATTGTAATGATTTTATCTTGGAAAGCAGGTTATTTCTTCTTGGTTTAGAAAAATATGGGAAAGGTGACTGGCGAAGCATATCCCGGAACTATGTGGTCTCAAGAACACCAACGCAAGTGGCAAGTCATGCGCAAAAGTATTTCATTCGATTGAACTCCATGCACAAAGACCGGAGGCGATCTAGCATCCACGATATCACCAGTGTTGGCAATGGAGATATTTCAGCACCCCAAGGACCGATCACTGGTCAATCGACTGGTGCTGCAGCTGGAGGTTTGTCTGGAAAGCCAGCAAAACAACCCTCTTTACATCCTGCTGCACCAGCTGGTGTTGGTGTGTATGATGCCCCGACTGTAGGGCAACCAATAGGAGGCCCCCTTGTCTCAGCGGTTGGCACGCCAGTGAATCTTCCCGGCTCGACACATATGGCTTATGGAGTGAGAGCTCCTGTACCTGGAGCAGTGGTTCCTGGAGCTCCGGTGAGCATGGGTCCTGCAACATACCTGATGCCCCATGCATCTTCTCATAGGTAATGTGTTGTTTAGCTGCCAAATGTACACAAGGACAGAAGATGACTATCTTGTGCAGATATCGGGTTACCGGATTTTCCAATTTAGCCCGAATAAGATTTGCTTATTTGCAAGCATTAACTAGTTTGTCTGTCGTTTGCTTAATCTTAATAAACCATAGGGATAGTGTTTACATGAACGTGTATAGGCAACTCTGGAAAAAGGGAACTGAACTGCTAAATATGGCAAAAGTAGAAACAGCATTTCGACTCCTTTTTCTTTCCTCATCCATTTTCTGATGCACACATTTGCATTAGAATTAGTCAATGCTCAGAAGTTCCATGGAAATTGTGTTTATGAAGAAAAGGGAAAAAAACCACCCACCATAACTTATTTTGCTATTATGAGCAGCATATCTGAGAACATTTCAATTCACTTGGTTCTTCAGTTCAGTTAGTAGGTAGTCTGGCAGGTACCAAAGTCATACTATGGGTATATATTCTTTAAGCTTTGACAAAAACAAGCCATGACATGGAATACCAAGAACTACCCCTTTAGATTGAAATCAAACTTGAAAGAATTCCCAAGGACATTGGAGAGAGCTGCTAGTGGTGCACAAAAAATCCGAATATCCGATTTTGCGAAAAAAATATCCGAAACCGGATTTGGGAAAAACCGGTTTTTTTTTAACCGGATCGGATTTTTTTAAACCGGTTATTTTAACCGGTTTGGAGAAAAAAACCCAGACCGGTTTTTTAACCGGATAAAAAACCGGTTAAAAAACCGGTTTTTATCCGAAAAAAAACCGGTCTGGGTTTAAAAAACTAGCCGTTAATATAGCCGTTTGTGACCGTTTTTGACCGTTTTTTTCTTTAAAAAATTACTATTTTACCATCCTAAACATGTATAAATAGGTTAGAGATGTATTTGGTTGATTACAACTTTCTCAAATCTTATTACACAACACTTAAACATCTCTCAAATCTTAGTTTTGTAATTTTTTATTCATCATGAGTAACACTGCTGAATCTTCCGTCGGGGGAAACCTTGAAGTCGTGAGAGTGATCGAACACACTCGAAACAAAGATATTTGGGATCACTACGATTTATGTGAGATGTCAAATGGCTCGAGGAGGGCGCGTTGTAAACTTTGTCTAAAGTTTCTTGCATCGGAAGGAAACACAACGTTGAAGAACCATTTGACAAAATCATGCAAGGCACTTCGCTCAAGATCGGATCCTAGTCAATCGAATCTTACACCGCAAGGTGGTGTTTTGTTTACGACAACGAAAAATTACGAGAAGCGTTTACAAAGTTCGTGATTACAAAAGCATTGCCGTTCGACCACTTTGATGATGAAGATTTCACGACAACAATTCAACAACTAATGCAACCACGTTATACTCAAGTAAGTCGTACTACCCTTCTAAAGAGATGCTATAAAAATGTGGCGTACGGCGAGGGAAAAAATGATTTTAGGATTCCAAGAACACCGTTATGGTGTGTCGCTTACATGTGACGTTTGGAGTTCCCCTCATAATACCGGAAATTCTTTTTTAGCCGTTACGTCACATTGGTTAGATCAAGATAATTGGCAAATGATGAAAAGAACAATCGCGTTTGAATTATTCGGTGAGCCGCATACCGGTGCTAATTTATTTACACTTTTAAAACGGGTAATTGTCTTTATAAATTAGAAAATAAAGTTTTTTCTATATCCTTTGATAATGCATCGAATAATACAAACGCGGTTCCAAGATTGAAAATATTACTTTCACCGATTTTAGACGGTGCGTTTTTTCATACCCGTTGCGTTGCACACATAATTAATTTATCCGTGCAAGCCGGTTTGGAGGTTATTGAGCCAATTAGATTAGAATTTAAAACAATGAAAATCGTTCTTTGTAACAACAACAAAAGACTAAATGATTATAAACGATTTGTAAGTCTGTTAATAAAAAAGCTTTGGGTCCTAATTTGGATTGTCCAACTCGTTGGAACTCAACTTGGATGATGATGCATACTGCCTTAAGGCAAAGGGAAACATTGCAAACATTTCACGATCGGCTTTTCGAGAGGGGTCATGTCCCAGACATTTATCCGGATTCGAGTTGGGAAACTATAGCCAAATAACCGATTTGCTTGAGGTTTTTAAAAATGCAACAACTTTTTTATCCGGTGTTTATTACCCTACTAGCCCGTTGGTTCTTAATCAAATATTTTTGTTGGCTACCCGACTAAATGACTTTGAATTTGAAACCGAAGTTTTTCAAGAAATTGGCTTTGCAATGAAGGAAAAACTTTTAAAATATTTTAAGGAGATTCCCCCCATTTTTACTTGTGCCGCCGCTTTAAACCCAACGTTAAATGTTGGTGGGGTTGAAACACTAATTGAACAAATTGCGTTTGCTTTTAATCTAACCGATGATGAACCCAACTTTGTCCAAAACCAAATAAATTATTTTAACAAATGTTTTCGAGACATGTTTGCAATTTATTTAACTAAATACGGATCAAGTAGTGTAATACACGATCAAATGAGAATGAATGCGGAATCATCTAGTAGACGTCCAAGTAACTAAATTTGAATCTTTTTAACACTCTTGTAAATTCTCAATCCAAACGATCACGTACTACCACCCCAAGTAGCGAGTTGGGAATTACATGTCATGCGATTTTCTATCAAAAATGACATTTGAAGAGTTTGAAAGTTTGGATATTTGGCTTGGTGGAAAGAAAAGGAAGCACAATTTCCGATTCTAGCCGCCATGGCCCGTGATTTACTAACCGTCCAAGCTTCTACGGTAGCTTCGGAATCCGCTTTTTCTGTTAGTGGCATGGTTATATCACAACGGAGATCAAGACTAAGTCCCGAGTCGGTGGAAGTATGCATTTGTTTAAAGGATTATTTGGATGGAGCGGCTCGTAAGCAACATATCACCACCCTAGAAGATGCAATTGATGCCGATTTGGAAGCAAACTTACACATTGAAGAAGTCGAACTTGGATATCCCCTCCAAACGAAGAAGGCGAAGATGATGAAGAAGAGATGGCAATGTAGTTTATTTTATAACTTTATTTCAATTATCGTAAACTTGTTTCAATTATCGAACTTGAAGTTTTTAAGTATTTGAATTTATCGAACTTGGAAGTTTTTAAGTATTTGAATTATCAAACTTGGAAGTATTTAAGTATTTCAATTATGTTGAGTTAATTAAGTATTTCAATTAAGTATTTGAATTTATCGAACTTGAGGTTTGATGCTTTCTCTTTGATTCTCTCTTGATTCTAGTTGCTTGATGTTTCTGTCTTTGATCAATGACTTCTAAGCTTGCTTAAATACACCTTGAATCACTTCTGAACGTTAGTGATAATTAATGAAGATAATATAGCCGTTTAAGTGTGAAAACATTTAATAAAAATGCTTAGAGCGTGGGGGAATCGGTACCCTCTCATAGGGAATCGGTTCCCTAAGTGTAAAATTCAAATATTTCGACCGTTGAATAGGGGGGAATCGGTACCCCTATGGGGGAATCGGTTCCCTCCGAGCATTCTGGAAATCTCGGAGCCAAACCATTCAGCGAGGAATCGGTACCCCCTTGGGGGGGAATCGGTTCCCTATGAGCAATCTGGAATATTAAAATCGGTTTTTTTATAACCGGTTTTTTAAAAAAACCGGTTTTTTTAAAACCGAAACCGGTTACACCGGTTAGGATATCCGGCCCTCCAAACCGGTTAGAAACCGAACCGGTTATTTTATAAACCGGTTTTTTTTCTATGGGAAAAAACCGGATTGGATAAAAACCGATCCGGATCGGATTGAAATCCGAATTATGTGCAACCCTAGTGGTGCTCTCTTTAAACTCTGTTTTAAAACAGAAAGATGAAAGGGGTTATAACAGTTGATCTCACATATGGCCATGGATGGACCCAAGGGGGCGGGTTGGGACAATCGTTTCCTAAAATTTTAAAATTATCACATATTTTAGATATTTTCTGTGTTTTTTATTGATAATCCATTTTTGTCTTTTAAATTTTATAAGTTCGCCTTCACAACATAAATCCCGTGCTCGTTCTTGCACATGGCCGCAATGACATTTCTCAAAAAATGCTCCATGTCACTGACTACATTATTATATCTTTCTCACCATGCAATTTGCTTCCCAAATCTCATCTTTCCTTTCTTATGTTTGTATTAAAGCAGTTGCAGACATCAGAAAGCTACAATGCCAACTCAGAAAGCTTGAAATATAGTCATCTTCTTTTCTTTACCTTCAGTATTTTTCGATGCGCAATAGCATGCAAACAAAAAATTTAGGTACAACACCTCTTTAAATACCATAAGCCAAAAAGATTCATCTATCATCACAAAAACACAAATCTTTTGATCATAGAAACTAAAAGAGAAAGATTTCCATCTCATTCATCAGAAAATGAAGAATCAGATACTTGAACAAGTCATTGGAGTTCCAATGAAATCAACATTGTATCAAATCGAGAGAACGCCGAGACGATACTTACCAGATACAGCTGGCCAGTACCGCATTCCATCATCTGCTGAAGGGTCTAACAAATTTATAAAAGGTAGTTGCTCCCTTTTAATCTGTGACGGGTTTAGATAGTCATAATGATGATGTTTTTGGTAATGAGAGTTTTGGTAATCACAGGCAAAGGAAATTTGATGAAAAAACTTGGGAAAAAAGCTGATACCTTCGCACATGGAGTCAGGGAACATGGTATGAGACACTCTAAACAAACATATATGTAATATACAAGTGTTTTATGCGTGTATCTATGTGTCAAGATCGAAATGAAATGAAAACTAAAGGTATTCTTTGAAACTGCAGTGAGATTGGGACCAAAGATCACTGAAACTGTGAAGAGAAAGTTGAGTTTGGGGGCAAGAATTCTTTAGATTGGAGGGATGGATAAGATATTCGAACAACTATTTAGTGTCAAAGAAGGGAGATGCTGTTGAAGGCATGCCAATGCTATTTATCAACAACAGCAGGTCCTCTAGCTGGTTTACTTTTCATGTCATCTTAAAAGGTTGCCTTTTGCAGTGACAGAGCGATCAAAATCCCGTCTCCGAATGGCGAATTCCTGAGAGTCCATTACAAGGTTTTGATTCCACATGAGAAAATAAAGAGGGTTAATGACAGCGAAAACATGAAGAGACCATCACAGAAGTACATGGATATTGTGACGGTTGATGATTTCGA